TTTACAACATGCAGTCAAAGAGGTTAATTGAAAAATTTCTTAATGTCATTATGAAAGAACTAGATTAACCCAAGTTAATTCACTTTATTGTTCAAAATAAAGAGGAATAAGCATTGAACTCACTTGCAAATTTGGGGCATGAATTAGGGGTGAGATGTTGTCTTTAAGGACTCTGCCAGTTTAATTAAGATATGGAAAATTACTTATTGTTCTTCACCACTAAAGTGCTAGGAATTAACAGCCAAATGTGATGCCTGTGCCTTTCATATCTCTACCATGTGTTTGTTTGTTTAATACCCATAAGACTACATCATTAAACCTCAAGCACTGATTTCACTAATTCAGCACTAGAGCTACACGCTACAGCAGCAAACACCTTTTCTAGTCAATCAGAGTCGAACAGCTGGATGTAAAACGCAATATTATTTTTAGGCTCGTATCTAACTTTGACTTCAAACCACAAGCAGTGTTTCCCTCCAAAGCAAAATACCTTCCTATCTTTGTAATACATCCAATAAATACAGCCAGAGCACCAGGATATGGTGTGATGTGTTTTACCTATTTTATCAGCTCCTCATAATTACAGATGCCACCGCGAACCGCTGGCATTATGGCACTTCTCTTTTCTTCTTGGGATGATGGCTGCATTTAGTGAAAACGTAACGCAGGTTGTTTGTTTTTCTTTAGGAAGTATTACTTAAGAGAGCAGCGGACCTTGTCGAAGCCCTATATGGGATGCCCCATAACAACCAGGTAGGTCCTCGTACACACGCCGACACCGGTAAATCAATACCCGCTATTTGCAAAGCTGGCAGAGCACCAGCACGTTCCTCTGGTAGGCAGCCGGGCTCTGCCAGCCACCTTCAGGGCAGGCTGATGTGATGCAATGCTCTAAGGGAAACGCTTCGTCTTCCCATTCTCTTCTCACGGCTAGTTTGCCCATCAGGAATGACAATTAAGTGTAAGGTGCCAAAAGCATAAGCAATCATTAAGGCAAGAGAATAACCTTGAACTCGGGCCAAAATATACGGTGACTAATGGGAAGTCCTAAAGAAATCTGCTAAACAGAGCGGATAAAACGTACTGTATTTTTGCAAACTGCTGGAAATACGCCTGCTGCCCCGGACGGATAAAGTAGATGTGTACAATTTTCGCGTGACTTACAGCGCCGAACTGTAATTTTGTGTTAATTTCTTTGTTTCCTTGTACTTGCTGCCTCGATGTGAAACTGCACAGCGCTCTGGAAGGAAAACAGACGGTGCAGTCGAAACAAGGAGCAAAATCCCCACCCTCGCTGTAATTCCACATGGATCTCTTCTGCAAATTTTAACGTTGTGGTGACTCGGAATATTTGCGTGTTTCGGAGTTGTCAGTGCTTATTTTATGTCTTTGTAGGAAATAATCCTGAAACGAGCAGCTGACATTGCCGAGGCGTTATACAGCGTGCCACGCAATCATAACCAGATCCCCACTCTCGCCAACACTCCTGCTCACACTGGCATGATGGGGGTGAACTCCTTCAGCAGCCAGCTCGCCGTTAATGTCTCCGAAACATCACAAGCCAACGACCAAGGTATGTGGGATTTCAAGAGTTAATCCTCCACCTTGTTGCCTGCTTTTGGCCAGTGCCTATTAAGACGAGCCGATGTCACCGCCGTGTTCTGCCTCTTTTTCTCCCCGTAGTCATGTTTCTGATCGCGTAATGAAATGCCATCTTTTAACTTTCTCGTAATATTTAATTCTTTCCTGTTCTTTTGTTTACTATTATCATAAAGTTATCTCCAGTGGGGGAAAAAAAAAAAATTGGCAAAGTGTAGAAAGCTCTTTATTATTCACAGTAAATATACAATGTGTATGTTTTTTTTTTTATAAAATAATTATGTCTAGGTATCTCCACTTGGTTTTGGAATATTTACACAGATAAATCTAATTCGATGTCTGTGATCTTAAAATACTTTGTTTATAGGCATGTGTGACATATATGTTACTAATAAAAGTAATAGTTGATTTAATTTACCTGTTGTAATTGAAAACGCATGTAGCATATTGCATTTAAAATTAATTTTGATACTAATGAAAGGAGGGAAACAGGATTATTAGATATGTTCAAACCCATATTTTTTGCTTGCAACGTAATTATTAAATTGATTGCTCAGATAGGAACAAATTGTTGTTTAAAATCCTGATTCTTCTGTGTTTCCTCTTCTAAAAAGATTGCCTTTTAATGCATTTCCAAGCTAATAAGCCTTATAAAATTCCGTACTTGATCTTGTATTAGTTTTCACCGGTGGCTACACCTTACGAAAGTACGAGCTTATTGGTAGCATAAAAAATATCAATCATAAAATGAAGACCCCAAAACAGCCTTTTAAAGTAAATCAGTGCAACAAAAAAGTTTTTCTTGTCAGCTATGGCATTTGAAGGTCCGGAGAGGCTGAAAGTTCATTCAGTGTGTTGGTACAAAGCGGGACTCGAGCCTGTTGATAATTGCTCCTAAAGACAAACGTGAAGGCACCTGCCACAGCTGGATCGAAGAGAGCTTTTGTTGGCTGTCTGTGCTAAGAGGAGAGACAACATAGAGTGCTCGCAGATGATTTAAGTAGGGTTGGCGTGATAAGGTTATCTCAAACTGCAAGAGTTGATAGGGCAGTAAGAGACAACTTAGAGCAAAGCTGTGCAATCAATTAAAACTGTGTAATATGTGCTGCATGAGGAAACCCCCCAGCCCTAAGTCTATATTATAAAATAACATTATTTTTTTGGGGTGGGGGGGTTTCTAACACAGTAGGTTACAGTCGCAACACAAGCAGTGTTTCCCCGCGAGGATATGTTCCCAGCAGTACTCCTCAGCAGTCCAATTACAACACAGTCAGCAATAGCATGAATGGATATGGCAATGCCGGCATGCCCAATCTAGGTGTACCAGGTTCCCCTGGATTTCTTAATGGCTCCTCAGCTAACTCTCCTTATGGCAGTAAGTGTCTATTTTTGGTAACACATCATCATGTAGATTCATATTTACTACGAAATCCAATACTTGCATTGTTTTGATTTCCTATATTGTGAGCTACTGGATAAAAGGAGGGGTGACTCTGGAGGCTGGACGTAAAAATGAATATAATAAATTGATCTGTTTGTGCCATAATACAATCTCAGATAGAAAAAAAAAAAAAAATTGGACTGCGCAATTTGTAACAAAAGTCCAACACAAAAGAGTTTGCCTGTTATCCAGAGAGTGGCCAAGCCAAGGCATTTCATTTTTGTTTTTTATATATATTTTTTTATATATATATATATTTTAAGAGGCAAGGCCCTATCACTCTCTTTTTCCGTGTTTGCCGTGAAAACCTCAATCTGAGTCCTGATTATTTTTGCTTTATTGCAGTAGTGCCGTCAAGCCCTACCATGGCAGCCTCTTCGGTCACCCTCCCTTCAAACTGTAGCAGTACACACGGCATTTTCTCATTCTCACCTGCCAATGTCATCTCTGCAGTGAAACAAAAGAGCGCCTTTGCTCCTGTTGTCAGGCCCCAAGCCTCTCCTCCACCATCTTGCACCAGTGCAAATGGAAATGGACTTCAAGGTGAGCTGGATCTCTCTCGAATTTCTGTGTATTGCTTTTTTTGGTGCATACACTCGAGCCGTGACTGCTCGTTTGGGACCAAGGTACCTCGCTATGTTTTTAGGTTCCTAGTGCTCTTGTAGCGATGCAAAAGCAGGAGAAGAAACAGGGTGGCACGAACGGTGTGCTAAGATTTTAAGCAAATCTTAGTTCACTTTTAATACTTGCATCAGTGAAAACACTAGTTGTTTTTCCGGTGTTTTCCCTTAGGATTTCGTGCCTTAACTTGTAAAGTAAGACTGTATCCCTGAATGCTTCTCGGAGGGTTTGCCTGCTCCTCGTGTTTATACGTTTTCTGAACGCGTTTCTGGGGATGTTTAAAACCAGCAGCAATCCAGCGTAAGGCGGTGTGTTCTCCTCATTTTACATACGGTGCAATACTTGTTTTAAAATTCCTCACCTGGGTGTAAATCAGGTTAAGCCCTTGCTCGGGGAACCAGCCTTCCCTTGGAGCAGCCAGCTGCTTGCGCAGTGAGATCGCGTGCTCCGATGGTCCCAACTCACTCTCTTACTGTGCTGTTAGAGGGGTTACTTCCCTAAGTGAATAACTACATCTTTTAATTAAGGAAGGCAGTTTTAAGCTTCTGTGGTTTTTTTAATCCGTGTGATTTCGTGTGAGTAGCATAACGGACAATTTAGAAATCAGATGCGGAATTTCCACGGTCACTTGCTGGGCAGGAGGAATTACGATACAGAGTACATTTGGTGGAGGAACAAAAATACGAACCAAGAAGTCTTTCCTTTTTCTGGCGCATCTCAAAGTTTAGAAGATCCTGTTGTCAGATGCATTAGAGTCGTTTGAGGGGTTTGTTTGCCTCTGATTTACAAATCGCGAGCCCGGTGGCACAGTGCAGTAAATGGAAGCACTTCAGATCCCGTGGAAAGCAGAAAGGCCAGCAGATGTTCCTACCCCAGAGCTCATCGCTCCTCTTGACTTTCTGAGTTAAGGTGTAGGTAGCACAGCATTATTTATTCCTTGTGTTGCCATGATGTCCATAATATGATGAGGACTCGCAGGCAAACAGATGAAGACAGATACTTTGATTTGCCAAACTAGCTCTGGACACTTGCATTTTGTGGTTTCTAGCTTAAGGCACTTTGGAGAGACATAATCCCACAGAACTACCTGTCCACCAACAATCCAGGCCATTCGGGACCAGGATCTCAAAACGGATGTCCCTGTGGCTTGTTATTAACTTCTTGGCCCAAAAAAGCATCTGAGAGTTTATTATGCACTCAGGTCAATGAAAGGCTGAGGATCCAGCTACACAAATCTTATTGTAGGATGAATGTTGGAGAAAAGGATAATTAGATTAACAATTTCTGTCATTGCATATGTCTTTGGTGGAAGCTTTGCTGTGTTCCTGTAAGTAGAAAACTATACCAGGTATAAGCAATATTCATAGAGAAGATTATCCATTCATAAAATAATCCAGTGTCCTACTTTCCTCTTTTTATAAAAATACACTAGTATAAAAAGTAAATACGAAAATAATAATACAAAAAATAATAGAATAAAATAAAATAAAATAAA